GCCCATTCAACCAGATGGGGCTTCAAGGATTCAAACATAGCCGGAAAGAAAATTGAATGCATGATAAAAATCAACACTCTGGAACTTATTTACAGCAACGAGGATCCAGCTACATATTTGCACTACAATGGAACCAGAACAACTCCTGACTTACTCCTGGCTTCAAGCGACATCAGTGAGCATACATGCCGCAACATAATTGAAGATCCTGGTTCTGTTCACAAACCTGTCATTGCTAGTATTACCATCGGCAGCAAAAGCATGACAAGAGAAGTGTCAACTTAGCTATCATGGAACTTCAGGAAGGCCGACTGGCCTAGATTCCCAAATCTTTTAGGGAATCAACTTAACACAAGTCCCCTCAACTTCAACCAACATCCTGAGGACTTAACACAAGTCCCCTCAACTTCAACCAACATCCTGACCACTTTGGATCATATCATGAATATTATGATCAGATGTGCAAAGAAAACTACCGATATGAAGAATATTATGATCAGATGTGCAAAGAAAACTATTCCCCCCCAACTTCAACCAACATCCTGACAAACTTTGCAATGATATCGACTTCAACCAACATCCTGACAAACTTTGCAACGATATCACATATATTATGCTTAGATGTGCAAAGAAAACTATACCCCGAGGCAAAACTAAACACTATCGAGTGTTTTGGTCTAAACACCTTGAGGAACTGATAGAAATCGGGACGCCCTTTGCAACAAGGCTGATCAGACTGGATGAACGGAAGACGTACAAGCCTGGGGACCACAATCAACTGTCCTAAGGCAAGCCATCTTTCAAGCTAAACGGACTTCCTCCGACGAGTTCATCTCAAATGTCAACTATCAAAGTGATAGCCGGAGCGCTTTCGAATTCCTTGGTAACCTCCAAAACAAAAGGGAAAGACCCTCGAAAGAACCAATACGCTCAAATAACAAACTGCTTACTACCGACTCCAAAATAGCTTAATACTTTGCAAGGTTATATTCCCTCAAGTAGAAGAAACACCTTTTTATCAGAAAATCTTTGAATGACATAAAGGTGCAAGCAATACTGTTTGTTGAAAAAGAAGAAAAAATTAAAGAATTTCTCAACATCCAAAAGAAGTTGATACACAGGATAATGCACAAATGCCTACGTATTCATGGTATATCTTCTACTCTCTAAGACCTTTTTGTTATTTTAACATCATGTTTTGAACCATAATATATTTTATTTAAATACCAATAAAGTGATACTTGTTGACCACAAAATGCCTTGTTGGCCATGCCAAGTTCAAGGCGTTGTCGATGTGTACAACATAACAACAACACGCACATCATCATTCCCCTCCTTTGATACGACCTTTCGATTTAAGAGGTCGCATACAGCGTTTTAAACAGATGATAAAAAGATCAATGGTGAAATTTCTTATATCTTCCTGACAATCAATAGGCTTGATTATGAGGATTTTTCATCCCTTCAACGACCCTCTTGTCGTGCTGTGGATCGGCGAGCATTCGGCCAATAGTGGAATTATACAAGTTCCAGTTAATACCAACTACAGTCATTCAATCTCTCATCAAACCGCTCTTGCAATTAAAACCTAACTTCAAATGCATGGCTACTGTAATTCATTAAGTAAGATAGTCAACACTTCCCGACTCCAGAGGTATACGATTTTAGGTTGAAAAGTGATTCCATCCGAGTCAACCTCAATTTACCACATTCACTGGCAGTTCAATGAGTTTGCAGAATAGTAGAAGTTTAAAACTAGGAATTGGCATCAGTAGAAGCAGATGTCTTGGATACGAGTGATCAAGTATATTGGAGTGATAAGGTCGACTAAGCGATTTAAGAAATGTTCAACTCAATTTATCCCTGACTTGGCAAATTGGCTTTCTACCACCTTGTTAATGAGAAGAATTAACCGTGTGTGTGTACTATGCCTAACTTCATTTCTAATTAGGCACTTCACCCTTTTAAATGATCATGTTAGTTTCGCTTGGTTTAATGAAATTCCCACTTATGGAGAAAATAGTAAAATGGTTTTTCTTTAAAGTACAAGAGAACTAATTTTTTGAAACCTTACTACCAGTTGTCACTTTGAAATCGCTGCCAAATATTTTTCAATTCAACGAAATTTATCGCTTTCCTTGTCAATAACCACATTTGACATCCTTGGCCGTTACTCGAAAGACAAGTCGAGATTTCACATATCCAAATAGGAACTAACGTTGCTAACCTTAAAATCCGTAATTTAGTTTTTTAGATAATTAACTACTGAATTAAATGATAAACGTGTTGATTTCGCCTTTGATAAGGTAGTGCTTTAATCATCACGATGTAATCACCATGATGTTATATAATCTAAGGGGAAGTAAAATCGATGTCGATAATAAAACAACGACTAGGCAGATATAGGAGATGCTGCCATAGACATTTCTGAGTTGTTCAAGACTTCACTAGTGTAACAATCCTCTACACATGTAAGACACACAATATCTGCAGTTGCTATAACAACGAAAGCACAGATATAAAAGGCATTTACTTTATTTCTGTTATTATAATTGTCTTGCGTGGAAACATTCTCATTAGAATGTGCATTGAACATTTTTACTTATTTCATAGTAGTAAACTAATTCCTTTTTCTCGAGTTTGACAAAAAATTCAATATGGTCATTGTTCTCGCAATGACGTGCCTGCTTTTAACATCTAACGCAATATTACTTAATATTCATTTGGAAGACATTCGATTAAGCCACTAATGTATTGCCTCGTTAAGTGAAAATATTATATTATATTATATTGTATGCATATATATATATATATATATATATATATATATATATATATATATATATATCACCTTTATAGAAGACATTAAAATCCGTGATTATTTTTGAAATTTTTTTCATTACTTATATTATCACTTTAAAAAATATAAAATTATAAATCAATGTAAGAAATGTGACAATATATTATAGTGTGAGTTTTCATTAAGTAAATCGAATTCGTGTTAAAGGTGTAGCGGATTGCTACCTTAGTAAAGCCTGACTGACTCAGCCCTAAGTAAAGCCTGACTGACTTAGAAATCTCTATGGCAGATTCTCCTGACTCAGAAATCTCTTTGGCAGATTCTCCTACATCTAGACCGACTCAGAAATCTCCATGGCAGATTCTCAAACATCTAGCTACCGGCTCAGAAATTTCTATGGCAGATTCTCCAACATCTAGCTAGGAATCAGAAATCTCTATGGCAGATTCTCCAACCTCTAGCTAGAGAACAGCTAAGCTATAGCTCAGCTATAAAGAAAACAGACGTGTAGCACGGAGCGCGTTTATATCTGTGGCAGATTCTCCTACATCTAGCTAGACTCCCAGAACGGCAGATTCTCCAACGTCTAGCTAGACTCCCAGAACCAGGGAGATTCTCCTACATCTAGCTAGACTCCCAGAACCAGCTAAACCATAGCCCAGCTATAAAGGAAACAGACGAGTAGCACGGAGAATTCTCCAACATCTAGCTAGACTCCCAGAACAAGCTAAGCTATCGAACCAGCTAAGCTATAGCCCAGCTATAAAGGAAACAGACCGAAACTAGCTAAGCTATAGCCCAGCTATAAAGGAAACAGACGATAATTCGGAACACGTATATTCAGTCACGTAATGATCAGAAAAGTGTGCACGGAGCACGTTTATTCAGGACGTATCTTGCGGATCAAGTCACGTTTATTCAGGACGTATATTGCGGATCAAGTGTACCCGCTTATTCAGGACGTATATTGCGGATCAAGTGTGTACACACAGAGTATATTGTGGATAAAGTGCACACGCAGGTTTCAGTAAGTATGTTGCGGATAAACTGTACACGCAGAAAACTTAATCATGATCAGGTTGGCGGTTTAGGTTAAACAAACAGAGGTTAATGATTGTTCACTGTTTGTACGGTCACACCGCCCAATCATGACGTGCAGGTATGCGATGACGTGTCCCACAAAGGTAAGCGATTCTTGAACAGTATTTTAGTGCAAAAATACTGATTTTTGAACTTGGTGTAAAGGAAAGTGGTGAATTAGAAATAATGAAGGTTTTAAACATTGTAAAGTCTGCTTTTTGTATTGCTCTTGTAATGACATTTTCAATGAAATGAGTGTAACCAGACATTAGACTGAAAAGGGTATTAACTAATGTTTTTAGCAAGCATTTCTACTTTTTTATATTTCAAGATTCGGTTCTGCAATCATCATTCTACTTGGCGTGTTTCATCAAGTACTAACACGCAATTTGTAAATTCGCATCAACCTTTAGATGCGTAATATTAAACTGGCCTATCAAATCGGGGAGAGAGGTATGAGTGACGCACTCATGTAGTGGAAACGCAGTATGGCTTATCTTGAGCTCCTTTGTTAACGCTCAACTCGTTGAGTAGAGACGAAGCGTGAAAGCATTAACTTTTCTTCTATGCTTTTAAGTTGCATTCGATTCACACAGAATACCTCTACTGACATCGACAAAATGGTTATCTGATTAACACATTGTCGTAATTGCCATTAACAACCTAAATGTTTGCAATTCTAAATCTCTTGCTAAAAATACGATCGGCAGGGTATCAGCTCATCGATCGATAGTTTCAGACAGGCTTTCTTTCTATTTTAATAAACTTTAAGGGCAATGAAGTAGAATTTAAGTTTCCTTACAAAAAGAACGGTTGCACGATTTACTTGAGATGGTAAATTGTCATTTCATTACTGGCTTTTGTGCCAACACCACTCAAGTCTTACTCTCATCTCTCCTTCATCTTAGAATATATTTATGTGAGTTGATGTAGGAGGGAGGAAGGGATCACTTGTTCTAATGCTTTAAAGGTTAATCCTTCCAATGATGAGGTACAGGAAGCGAAATGGATGACCCAGTGTAGAGTGTTTGCTTCTCCACTTATTGACGTTCATAAAATAGTATTTTTTGGTGGTCACGACAAAACAGAAGTCCATAACACCTGTGAGAAGGATTCTTTATAGTAATAAGGGCATGTGATGTATTGTTACATGAGCATAAATTGTGATGAATGTCATTGGTGAATTGACAGAGTTATTATGACTACTCTGTCATTTGGTCGCGTCAAGAGATTCTGACCATCCAACCTTATGTTCCCTCTAAGTAGAAAGGCGAGCGGATTCATCTATAGCTACTTGTCGGTGCTTTCATGAGGCAAACATGTTTGGCCCTCAAATTCTACAATTCTATTGCATTTGGAAATTTAAAGTGAAACTGAATAGAGACCATCATCTCAGTTCAAAAAT